TGTTGAAACTGACAATTCAAAATTGTCAACAATCATTTCAAAATATTTTCATAAATGTCAAATAAACTTTTCTAAAGAAATTGATTTTTTAGTAATTTTTAGCAGTCGTAGATAAAATGCTATATATCACACGTGGGGTAGAGCATAATTACAGTACTCGTGTGATTGCAATTCTCCACACTCGTACTGTAATTATGTTTCTAGTCCACTTGTAATATAAATAACTATTATGTCCACAATGATTTTTAGCATTCCTTTAATAATTAAAAATACATATCATATTACTAACATAAATAATATTACAATCTAACAACATAAACATTACCATAATATGTTAAAAGGTGCATATGTCGCAGGCAAATGGTTATTTGAGGTAGATAGCATTTTCCTAGTCAGATACTGTCTGCCTAGGCAAACAGTAGTTCGTTACACTTTTATTATTAAATGTCTAGGCAAATACTATTGGACAAGATAAATAGTATCTGTCTAAGCTTGTTTTAGGCAAATAGGTACCTGTTCACAATAAAATAAAGTAGTAAGTAGTTACATAAAGTAGTTAAATTAAAGTCACTAATGAGTGTCAAACGAGTCAAATTATTTGCACATCATTTTCAAAGAATGCATAACAGTTTCATATACTTTTATTAAGTTTAATAAAAATACAAATAAAGGATTTATTTCTTGAAGACTTAAATACTAAATACAAAAATTTACTTGTTTTGATGAATTGTTGCTGCAATGGTATCTACTATAGGTCTGATTGCACATCATCGTATTTTTGAACTGTAAATTTAATTTCTTTTACGACACCAAAAAAAAGTTTATTTTTAGCTTTATTCTAAAAATTCGGTTCAAATTCGTTGTCCTATTCGGACAACGAATTTGAACCACCCTGTACACCTTTTTGTACTGCACTGAAATTTCGGAGGCTGCCACTGGCATTTTGACATTCCTTGCCCAAAAAACAGTGACTATAAAGTGCAGACCTCTCTTAAAGAAATAAAGCATTCCCGGAGTGGGGTTGGGTTGGTTATAGAGCTATTCACCTGAAAATATTTTAGCCATGTGCTATTTGCCTAGGAAAGTAGGATTTAGACTGAAATAAATGGAATAACACTAGTTGCCTAGGCAGATAGTATCTGACTAGGAAAAAGCTATTTACTTCAAAGAACCATTTGCCTGGAACACATATATTAACTATTTAACGATAAATAAACATATGTTCACAAGTTTTCACGGCTTTTTGTAAGAAATATAATCATAACTATGCTCAAAGTAAGCTTTCATCATTTAACAATCACGTTTGTCTTGAGATGTCAGAAGCATTGTTGCCTTTCCTGACAAATTTCCTTAGCTGAAGAGACCAATCGATGTCGAAACAAAAATAATTTTGTTATGTTTGTCGAATGACATTTTCAAAGACAGTCTTTTGTTTTGCCAAATTTACCAAAGTACGAATTTTGTACAAGAAGAGGCTTTGCTTTTGACGAAGCGAATAATTTTTTGTACGACAAAGAAGTTGTAGAACGAAAATTTTGCAAAGTGCAGTTGTTCAAAGCAATTTTCAAAGAAAAATTTTTGTTTATCTTTTGAGAAATCTTTATACTTTAGAATTGCTACAGAATCCGCTTGGGCGTACAAAATGGCTGTACAAAATTCGTACGTTTTGAAAATGTCGTTTGACAAACATAACAGAGGTTCGCTTGTTACGACTTCGGTTGGTCTCTTCAGCTAAGGAAATTTGACTAAAAAGGCAACAAGGCACAAAAACGTTCTAAATTATACTTTAAACGAAAAGAAATCCCTTTAACCAATTTTTTTACCGCACTAAGCAAAAATTATCCAGTTCCTCAAATGATTGATCTAATCTTATTAGATCTTTCACTGTCATTGTTTCAATCACCTGCCCTATAAAGCATTTTTGAATTCTTTTATAAAACTTAGCGTCATATTGAAGTCTCACTAGTTATTTAGAAATATCTTCTTCGTCATTGTCACTAGCCGAAAATCAGTAACAATAGTCTCAACAAATTCTGCAACTAGATTTTTTGTTACTGTATTCTCTTTTTCATTTTATTATTTTCAATTTCAGTTTTTTTCGGAGTATCGGTGGCAATCATGGTCTTGCCCTGTCTCACTTAGAGTTATGTTACACAATGAACACAAATTTGCATCTATCTTAATACCTTCATAATGGCTGAATAATTAATAATAGGCTGTATAATCTGCATCAACCAATGGTCGTTCTGATACTTGGCTTGCCAAAGAATTTTCTTCATTGGAGATATGATATTTACCGGTGTCATCGCTACCTGATAAATTGTCACAGGTGTGATAATATTTACAGGGATTTTTTCCTGGTAAAGTAAACGCCACTTGCATTTTATGTATCTGTATTTTAGATCACGTTTGATTTAAATCAAGGACGGTAAAATCTCAAAAGACTGCTTCATCCTTTGTTTTTTTGTAGTCCAGAAAATAATGTCAGTATCAGACCAATACATTACGTTTGACGCTTAGTCGGCTGTTGTTATGTTGTTTGTATTTGCTGTGTGTTTTTAGAACCTTTATCGTAAATATATTTACGATAAACACACAGCAAATACAAACAACATAACAACAGCCGACTAAGCGTCAAACGTAATGTATTGGTCTGATACTGACATTATTTTCTGGACTACAAAAAAACAAAGGATGAAGCAGTCTTTTGAGATTTTACCGTCCTTGATTTAAATCAAACGTGATCTAAAATACAGATACATAAAATGCAAGTGGCGTTTACTTTACCAGGAAAAAATCCCTGTAAATATTATCACACCTGTGACAATTTATCAGGTAGCGATATTAGAAAGAAAAGAAAAATTCTGAAGAAAATTTATTTTGGAGTGTCTTTAACATTTACCAGAAGTCGGTCTCATGAATCAACCTTTCAATTTCCACTTGCGCATTAGCGTCATCATTTGTTGACAGACTGTTTCAAATAATAATATTCAAATGAATATAAATATTTGATATTGTTGACATGCACAATAGTATAACAATTCTAATCAATACTAATATCTGTGGTATGTTGGGTATATAAAACAGGTAAATAAAAGCTATCTGAAGACGCAGGGCTAACCCCGAAACTTTCTAGTTCTAGGTCTATTGTATATTTTTCATTGAACTAAAAGTATAACTAACACTAGTTTACATACTTCCTGTCAGCTTAGCATGGTAGAGTATCTATATCTAGAATGCTGTTAGACTTATTTATGAAACGAGGAACGATTAATTTACTCAACAATTTGTAATCAACATCGTACCTTATTGTCTCCCTTATTCTGTTCCATTCTATTCTGTTCTGTACTGTTAAATCCAATTGTTGGTCATTCTTTTAACGTGGTCCATCAAGCATGTATACGACTTTCCTCTACTCCGTCTATCCGCATGCGGTCACCATTCGAGCAACCGTTTTGTCCACTACTTATTCTCCATTCGCGCGATGTGACCAGTTCAGTTCCATTTGAGTTTTGCCACAACGTTGACTACATTGTGGCTATTTACACCAGATCTTCTTCACAGGTCTCTATTTCGTATGTAGTTTACACCCGATATCGACCTTTCAGTCTATTTCTGCGTTACTTTGAACTGTTAATGTTAAAATTTCAGAGTCGTATTTTATAACCCGCAGCATGCACGAATGAAAAGACTTTCTTTTCAAATGTATGGAAATATCGCTGTTGAAAATGTCTATAAGTTTACCGTAGGCTGCTCATGCGAGAGTGAACCTTCTGTTTAGATCGCTTAAGTCAACTTCATGACCAAGATATACATAGCTGTCAACCCTTTCAAACTCATTATCACAAATGTTAATGTTAGAACTGGAACCAAAATTTGTCTAAAATTTTCATAGCCCCATGTCGATATCTACCCAACCTCCTGTAATTCGTTCAGCATCAGTTTCATCTCTCCAAGGCTATCCGAAATAAGAACCATATCACCCGCGAAACGCAAATTACTCAAGTATTTGCCGTCAATGTTTACGTCTATTTGGGTCGAATTTAGCTTTTTAAATGTACTTTTATTGTATCACCTTGTCTTACCCCACTTCCAATTAGTCATCATGGCAGCATTTTAGTAGATGTTATAAATAAGTTTGGTGTATTGATAATCGACCCTGCATTCTTAAAGTACTTGCAAAACTGCCATTGACTCAATTGTAATGCATTGTGAAAATCGACGAATGCCAAAACTAAATCTCTTTTACACTATATTGTCTTATCGATGAGTATCTTGATAGTTTCGACGTGGTCATTTGTTCTAAATCCTCGGCAAAATCCCACCTGTTCGACTGGCTGATATAAACCAATTTTATTTTCTAATCGAGTGGTTATTATTCTTGTAACAAGTTTATAAAGATGACAAGAAAGCTTATATGCCGATAATTCTCTAGTTCAGCTATGTCACCTTTCTTATGGAGTAGGATCATGACGGAATTATGCCATTTATTGGAAATCGTGTTATTGTACAGGCAGAAGTTAAAAAGATCTCTTAGTTTTTCAAGTAAGTGTTGCTCGCCTATTTCAGTTGCATCCGAAACTACATTGCCTTCACGTAGTGACTTGTTATTGCTTGCTTTCCTCAAGGATAGTTCTATCGCCTCTGTGGTAATATCAGGTATTTCCGTCCTTGTAAGTAACAACAAGAAATATTCAAACATTCATTTAAGTCTATTTTACATAAATTTGGATTTGTGAATCAACACACAACAATATTGGGCATCATTGCGTTCTATGATGACCGGTAACATGTCTCATATCATTTAAACTTCAGACATCTTTGCCATCAAGCATATAGTTTCACTAAAATCATAGTAATTAAAACTGGCCTTCTCTTTCTTGCTCTTAGACCTTATGAGTTTGGCATTAATCTTAAAAGAAAAACACTCATATAAGTTATAGAATATAGTTTTCATATTTTCATAATTAACTCCTCTAAGTATATTATTTTCTTTTCAGAACTAGAACTAGATGAATCGTCTCTACCAGGTGGGCTTCATATGATTTCAAGAGCCGAATGGAAAGCAAAACCATATAAAGGAGAATATACCGCCTTAAAAAAACCTGTAACGTACATAATAATTCATCAAACATCAACTATACGGTGCTTCAATCAAGATGCCTGCAAAACACAAGCAGTGAACATTCAAGATTATCATATGAGACATTATAAATTTAACGATATTGCTTATAATTTCATTATTGGTGGGGACGGTTATGTTTATGAAGGCAGAGGATGGGATTATGCTGGCACTCACGCCATCGGATACAATAACATTAGTATTGGTATTGCATTTATTGGAAGCTTTACAAAGTTTCTGCCGGAGTCGCATCAATTAGATCAAGCTCAATTTTTAATTGCGGAAGGAATTAAAAAGAAATACATATGTAATGATTATAATTTAGTGGGACTAAATCATATCAATGCTTTTGAAAATCCCGGGAGATTATTGATTGAAGAAATTAAAAATTGGCCCCACTTTTTTGTTTTTAACACTACAGTACATCAACCAGAAAACACTTGCGTATCACTTCCATTGAATCTTAGTATTATTTCAAGAGTCGAATGGGGTGCAAAAAGAAACATAGGCGAGTACACTCTTTTGAAAACGCCAGTAGAATACGTGATAATACATCATACAAGAGGGGGATCTTGTTTTAACAGCACTATTTGTCAAATAAAACTAAAAGCCATTCAAGATTTTCATATGAATTTTTTCGGATGGGATGACATCGCTTATAATTTTATGATTGGTGGTGATGGTCATGTATACGAAGCTAGAGGGTGGGATTATGTTGGCACTCACACCATCGGATACAATAATATTAGTATTGGTATTGCATTTATTGGAACATTCAAACACTATCTCCCGGAACAATCTCAAATAGAACTAGGTCATTTATTAATTAAAGAAGGAGTTAGAAATGGACACATTCATAAAGATTATAGATTGATCGGGATGAATCAAGTCACTAGTTTGGATAGCCCCGGGAAATTGTTAATTCAAGAAATTAAAACTTGGCCCCACTTTTTTGATTTTAGGAATGAAACACAAAGTAGAAAGAAGCAAATTCAGCTACCACCAAATCTTCATATGATTTCAAGAAACGAATGGGGTGCAAGAAAAAATGTTGGAGAATACACTCTCTTAAAAACACCAATACCATTCGTTATAATCCATCATACAGAAACTAACCGTTGTTTTTATCGTACCGCTTGTATATTACAAGCAAAAAGTATTCAAGCTTATTATATGGAAAGTTTCGGATGGTATGACATTGCTTATAATTTTATGATTGGCGGCGATGGTTACGTATACGAAGGTAGAGGATGGGATTATATGGGTGCTCACGCCTTGGGATACAATAACATTAGCATTGGCATAGGATTTATTGGAACGTTTATAAAATTCGTTCCGGAACCTTCTCAAATAGAACAAGCTCATATATTAATTGAGGACGGGGTTAAAAATGGGTACATTAGTGAAGATTATAAATTGGTCGGAATGAGTCAAGTCACTGGAAACGAAAGTCCTGCAACGTTATTGATTAAAGAAATCAAAACTTGGCCTCACTTTTACGAATTTCAAAGTGAATCTGATGATTAATAAAACTTTTACTAATAATAAGCGTTTTATTACATACAACGACGTTTACAATTTTATACCAATAACACAATACATACAACCAAACCCTCTGCTCTCCTTCACCACGTCCACACTCTCGACTCCTCGACACAACCACTTCCCTCATCCATCTCTTGCCCTCACCTCCTCTCCCAAAATCTGCATCCTCCTTCAACTCGCTGCATCCCTTCAACATATGGTCCAATGTCTCGACTTCCTCCCTGCACAGCCTACACCACCTATACACCACCCAATACTTATTGTGAAATCTGACCACCAATCTTTTCCCTCCCCAGTCCCCTTCCATCAGCAAATACTTTGGCAGTTCTTGTGTCACTATCTCCCCACACCGTTCATTATATCTTCCTTCCCATATCCGTGTCCTTCTCTTCTGCCTCTGTATGTCCCTGTCCTTATTCCTCAGTTCTCTCCACATTTCACCTCTCTCTACTCTTCAGTTGTCGATCCCCGTTAGTGAATATCCCACTCTCCTATAATATCCTTCCTTCTCTCCTTGTCCATACATATATCAACGTCCTCTCCTTAATTTCCGTCCAGCATATCACCATATATCTATCCTTTCTTCGTACTTTACTGCTTTTCTCCCAGCTTACACCCTCAATCTCTTCCCTCACTATGTACCCAAAAGTTTGGCCACCACCATGTTCGCTCTTTTTGCCATCGGCCCTATTAAAACCCTATTACCAGCCGAGCACCCACATCCCAAATACGTGTACTCTTTCACTTCCTCTATCTCTCTTCCTTGCCACATCCATCCTTCCCTGTCTTCTCCTCACTTTGCAGAACTTCATGATCTTTGTCTTCTCGACGTTTTTCTCCAGCCCCTTCGCCTTAAAATATCTCTCCAGAGACCTTATCATCTCCTTCATCTCCACCACCTCTCTCGCCACGACGACCAAGTCATCCACGTACGCCAGCGTGAGTACCTTCGTTCTTCCTATCACCATATTTTAATATGTATATATTGTCAATCGCCCCTCTTGCCTTCCGGCAACATTTCTGCCTTCTCCATTTCCTTTTCCACTCTCCCCAACCGTACCTTTGCATATTTAAACGTCATGTCATGGGTGATCCCTCTATAATTGTCCACCGCCCCTTTACTCCCCTTTTCATGTAGTTGGCATATTATTACCAGCCTCCACCTGTTCGGCAACCCTTCCCATCTCCATACGTCGTTTATTACCTTCCATAGCTTCTTCTTCACGGTCACCATCGCCTCCAACCATGCCTCATTCTGAATCTCATCCTCTCCTGGCGCCCTTCCCCTCTTCAGTCTTACTCTTTCTTCAACGTCGTCCCTTCGCTCGACCAATCTGCCCTAACGTATTTCCTATTATGTTTCATTACCCTTCTATCCCTTCTTCTCTACGCTCCCTTTATACACACTTCCGTGGTGATCCCATTCTACCAACGCACCCAGAACAGACGAATATGGGTTCATAAACACCAGATAGATCATATAAAAGACGTAGAGAAAAGGATAAAAAGTTGTTTGAATATACACCTATATATTTCAAAATTTTACAGTAAATTTTTTAGATATTTCAACAGGCTATAACTAGAACACACTAAAACAACTGATTCAAAAAATAAAAAAAACTTTACACACGGAGTTATAAAAAAGGAACTAAACTAGTTGGTAACTTGGGTTATTGACTAATATTAGTGACAAGGCTCCACACACGAAGCTACTCATCAGCGATCAAAATCTGTAGTTTATTCAGTTTACTCATGGATGCAGAACCGTCAACAAGTGTTGTTTTGTTAACTCCAGAAGACAGTTCCAGTAACGATGAGAAACCACCATGACATTAAATTGAAAGGAGAAGAATGAACACAAGACGGATCAGGGTCCACCCATACCTTGAGAGGAATTTTCATAATCGTTCGTTTGTTGATGCAAAGAAGCTCGAAATTTCAGATGCTAAGTTTGTAGCATTCTACAGAATGTCCAAAGAAAGTTATTTGGAACTGGTGAAATAAGTCTCCCCTGCGATTCAGAATCGGAACGGCTATTTGGACTCAGGTAAGAAAAGAAACCTTATAGTAACGAAAATTTGTTTTTGTACGGAGTAACAACATCTTAAAATCATTATTATTGCCGTTAGTTACCTTGTTGAGAAGCTGTTGACTAGTACTGTGCGGCTGGTGAAAAACTGGCGTCAGTAGTCATCTTGTGAGGTATAGCCCCTATATCCATCAGCGGTGAGTGAAGACATCTGTTCAGGCCCTTGTAGCAATTCTGAATACGAAGAATACGTCATTGATGAGGATAAGGAAGGAGTGCGAGTGCATCTATCTATTCGTAGTTCGTATAAATCATAATAGAGTACTACACTAACTGTTAAAGACACGTTAAACAGCCAAACGTCACTCAATCTAAACGAATGTGATCGATGAGACGTGTTTAGGTATGTAGTGTGCCATGCACCACAAATATGGTGCAAAAGCATATAAATGCAAACAACCATGCATTTTTCATCAATCAGTTGCCAATAACTCTTCAAACTCATTCATTTCACCAAAAAACGAATAGATGATTGTTGTAATTTGTATCTTTTTTATACATATTTTTGCTTTTTTTATTTGTATTTAAATTAGTTTTTCTATTTGTCAAGAATCATAGCAATAAGAGGTTTTTGTTTTGTTTTCCTTGTTGTTGACAACAAGCGCGTCACTATCAATAAGATTTTTGTAAGAGCGTCGTTTGAGTCGTGTCGTACCTTTAACAATAAATAATTCGTTACAACAAAAGGCAGCAAATTGTTATTCGTTACGAAGAAGTGTTAACCAGCGCTATAACATACGTTATATTATTCAACAATGATTCAAAGAAGAAAAATAATTTTTCAAAATTCAAAATTACGACTAAAGCTTTATTTTTTTTATTTTTGATAATCAAAACAATTAGAATTTTTTGATTGATACAGGAGCAGATATTTCTGTTTTACCGCACAAATTATTCCCCCAGCACAAACAAGATACTGACTCCAATCTTAGTGCTGCGAACGGTACTAAAATACTAACGTATGGTAAGAAAATGCTAACGGTATCACTCAACCTTAGAAGAGATTATCCATTCATTTTTACCGTGGCCAACGTTAGTAAGCCAATAATTGGTGCCGATTTCTTAACTAGATTCGGTATCTTAGTTGATGTTAAGAATAAGAAATTAATCGATAAGGAAACAAAAATTTTCTCTATTGGTTCTTGTATCAAAAGCGATGTTCCATCACCCAAAATTTTCTTCTTTGAATCAAAATTTTCAAACATTTTAAAAACATTTCCAAAATTAACTACATCGCCTAATTTTTTATCTCCCGTTACACACAACACTAAACACAAAATTATTACTAATTCACATCTTCCGTTTTGCCGTCCTCGACGTTTGGATGTGCGTAAGCTATCAATCGCTAAAAAAGAATTCGAACAAATGGTCGCTATGTGCATCTGTCGACCACCTTCTTCATCTACGGCATCGCCTCTTCACATGGTACCTAAAAAAGATTCTGATGACTGGAGACCATGTGGAGATTACCGCCAATTGAACAGCGTTACTGTGCCAGATCGCTATCCGCTACCTCATATACATGATTTCAACATTCATTTGCACGGATGCAAAATCTTTTCTAAAATCGATTTGGTCAGAGCGTATCATCAGATACCCGTAGATGAAGAGGACATACCAAAGACAGCTATAACAACCCCTTTCGGTCTTTTCGAATTCGTTCGCATGCCTTTTGGCCTTCGAAATGCAGCGCAAACATTCCAAAGGTTCATCAATGAAGTACTTTCAGGACTAACCTTCATTTTTGTATATATAGACGATATTCTTGTAGCAAGTCGAAATGAAGAAGAACACATACTTCATTTAAAACAATTATTTCACAGATTAACTTCCTACAATATCAATATCCAACCGAAAAAATGCATTTTCGGTGTTAAATCATTGGATTTTCTTAGTCATCATGTTTCATCCGATGGCATTCGACCATCGCAATCAAGAATCACAGCCATAACACATTTTCCAAAGCCAACGACTCTAAAAGAGTTACAAAGATTTTTGGGAATGTTAAACTTCTACCATAGATTCTTACCTAACATTTCAAATATTCTTGATCCCTTATACACACTTTCAAAATTACTTCACTATCAAAAACAAAAAACAATTTCATCAACTTCTTGGACTCTGCAACACGACAACGCTTTTTCTTCAGCCAAAAATCTTCTATCAAAATCTATCTTTCTAGGACATCCCTCTTCACATGCTATCCTATCATTGTCAACTGATGCATCTAACACAGGTATGGGAGCTGTTTTAACGCAAACCGTCAATGGAAGGTCTCAACCATTAGCGTTCTTTTCCAAAAAATTTAATTCATGCCAAACCAAATATTCCACTTTTGATAGAGAACTTTTAGCGATCTACTCTGCTATCAAATTTTTCAAACATTCGTTACATGGAAATAAATTTACAGTATATACAGATCACAAACCCATTGTCGCATCAATTTTTTCGTCCACAGACAAAACTCCTCGACAAACCCGATATCTAAGTTATATTGCACAATTTACTTCAGATATCAAATACATCAGAGGAAATTCAAATATTGTTGCAGATACTCTATCCAGAACAAACATCGGATCTCTAAATTCATCTTATCCAGATTTTCTAGCCCTTAGCAACGCTCAACTTGCTGACACAGAATTGGAAAACTTACTAAATAAGCAATTTTCCAACAATCCTTCAAAATCTTATCGTTTAACACATCAAACAACATCACAATCCGATATCAAACTGTGGTGTGAAACCTCTTCATCATCTCCAAGAATTTATATTCCACAACAGTTCAGACAAGCAATTTTTGACAAAATTCATAGCTTATCTCATCCCGGAATACGTTCCACCATTCATGCAATCAAAACAAGATTCTTTTGGCCACACATGTCAAAGCAAATTCATGTTTGGACCAAAACCTGCTTAAAATGTCAACAAGCAAAAATTCAAAAACATACAAAATCGCCAATCATCAACATCAAAATTCCTAAAATTAGATTTGATCATATACATATCGACTTGATTGGACCACTCACTCTGTCCCTAGGTTGTACTTATGTACTTACAGTTATCGAGCGCTTCACTCGATGGCCAGAAGCTTTTCCGCTAAAAGATATCACATCTTCTACTATAGCAAACACACTCTTCCGGCATTATTTTAGTCGATTTGGCATACCTACCACAATAACACATGATCAGGGACGGCAATTCGAATCAAACCTCTTCTCAAAATTTAACACATTACTTGGCACACGACAAATACATACATCATCTTTCCATCCCCAAGCAAATGGAATGTTAGAACGATTTCATCGATCATTGAAGACGGCTATCATCGCTGAAGGAGACTCTACTAGATGGAACAACAATCTACCCCTCATCCTACTAGGATTAAGAACATCACTTAATGAAGATCTAGGTTGCTCCTCAGCATAACTGCTTTACGGGCAACCACTAAGACTTCCTGGAGAGTTCTTCATACCTACTAATCCATCTATTGACTATGAGCCTTTCCTCTCCAGTTTAAGAGACACTTTTTCAAAATTAAAACCAGTGAATACGTCTTTTCACTCTATTCAAAAACCTTTTATTCATAAAGACTTGCACAAATCAAATTTCGTTTTCATTAGAATTGAAGGTTTGAAACCGTCGTTATCTCCGCGATACGAAGGACCTTTCAAAGTTCTGGCAAAAGCAACCAAATATTTCGTAATTCAGAAAGGCAATGATAAAATTATTGTTAATATCGATCGCCTTAAGCCCGCGTTTATCTTTAATGAAAGTATTAAATTTAATAATTCGGAAATAGATAAACATGTGTCATCCCCGAATAGAAAAGTACATTTTAATATATAATCGTTATTTTTTATTACTACAACATATTACTTTCTTAAGTTGTGCCATTGTTTTACCTTCCTCTTCTTATTAATTTCTTTTTCACGGAAGGGGGAGTATTGTAGTGTGCCATGCACCACACAAAGTGGGCCATGAAAAGTTGCTTTTAATAAAAAAAAATGATTTGTTATATAATTTACAAAAAACAAAAAATAGATTAAAAAAATAAATATTCCATTAACAACCTAAAATGTGGTAGAATAAAAATAATTTTTAAAATTTAATAAAAATATTGTACATGATATTGTACATCATCGTACAAGGTACTTGATAAACTCATTGACGTACGCCACACTTTTATTTTCATTAATAATTTCAATAAATATCGAATATGGTTGTCGCAAATTTCGAAACAAGGCGATAAATAAGCAATAACCTCTTGAATTTTTGCCGTATGTTTACCTAACACCCTGTGTATTGTATTATACCTATTAGGAAAGGGAAAATTATAAATATAAAAAAAAACAATAAAACGCTTGTTAATTAAATTAATAATAAAAAAAAGACGATTTGCTAATACCTATAATGTTTGAATTCTTTTACTGTATTAGTATTATTTAAAAATCTACAAGTTGAGTTAGGCAACCCAAACATCACTCAGAAATATACCTGTCATTCTTGTTTCATGCATTATAAATCTAATAATTATATTCATTTTTAAAGTTTATGTATTTAGACTCATTCGCTTTTTTCTTTTATATCATAATTTTAGTTTATTAAAACTGTTACAACAATATTATTCGGAAATAACATTTTGCACAAGACTTAGGTTGGTGAAAATGAGAAGCGGTACGTATTTGCAACTAACTTCACTCACCCGTATGACGCAAAGAGAAACATCAACATTGCAATGTGTACGAATAACATTATTTCCGGGTTCTAAACTTAATAAACCCTTGTTTTAAACAATTCTCCGTGATTTTAAAATGTAAATGTAAACGTTTAAATAATTAAAAATGATTTAGCTCTAACGTGTGCGTCGATTCGTTCACCATGTAAAAGAAGCTTTTTACAACTGTCGTTAATAAAGAAGAACAATGGTTGTTAATCGCGGTGAAATGAAACGTAAACGTAAAGAAGACGCTTGTATAAACTTGCTGGATCACAGCCCGAAAAGGTAAGTGAAGAGTTCTGCTTAAAAAATTAGATTAAAGCTTCTTTGTTTTTGTGTAACAGAACCAAAGTGCACGCTCAAAGAAAGTTTGCACAAGGTTCAAATGTTAGTAGTCCTGTAATTACACCGATTAAAGAAATTGAAACTCAAGAGCGTAAAGATGTTCTTCCTGAACCAATTGAACTGTTACCTATGAAAAGACCTAATACGGAAGATTTTTTAACATTCCTTTGCTTTCGAGGTACTCCAATTTTACCACCAAATTTAAATTTCTTTAATAACGCAAACACAGTTCATTCACAATCTCCTGAAGACAAAAAAGAAGCAAAGAATGGTCCAATAATGACAGCACCAATTGGTAAAAGTCCAAATGAACGACCTTTCATTGCTTTTGGAGTACGCAAACGAGCAGATCCCATTGTTATCAGTAAACAAATGGATAAAAAGCGACGTCATGCTTTAGCATTACAAGCTTTACGTCGAAAATATCAAGAACAAAAAATGGCAAAGATTCGAGCAATTGCTATAAGTAAAATTTCTGAAAAAGTTTCTACTAAAAATGTCGTCCGTACTCGATCAATAAGTAAAACTGAAACGAATACAAACACAAAGAAGAATGTTTGTCATAAAACAAAGGTTAAAGTTGTTGCTACTAAAAGAATTGCGAGGCGAACCTTAAAACAACCAATAAGACCTAATATTACTCCTAATATAAACTCTAAAATGTGTTTGAGAAGTTTTAGAGGACGATATATTCATAGAGAATTAAGAACTTCCAAGACAAAACCAAAAGATAAAAAAATTATTCAAAATCTTAATGCTAAAAGAAAAATAAAAAAAATTGAGAGTGAAGATGATGAAAGTGAAAGTGATGTAAAAGAGAGTGAAGAAAAACAAGAATCAGAAGAGACTTCATCATCTTCTGAGTTTTCATCTGATGATAATGAACCTTTGGTAAAAAAAGCAAAAGTAAAAAAGATGGTAACACAAACAAAAAAACAAGATACAGAGAATATAAGGTTAACCAGATCTCAAAGACTTTTGGGAAATCCAAGAAAACATCCTTTTCAAACTGTCATAACAAGATTAAGTACTATTAGAGCAACAACAAGATTAGCAAATAAAATCATTCAAAAAACAGGGGTTATAAGAAATACTCGGCGAATAGAAACAATAAAGAAAAACACGATTAAAAAAGATGTAATTATAAAACGACCAACGAGAGGAGCAACTGATAAAAAATTAGAAACAGATACAAGCGATATAAAAACACGTAGTAGAACACACGAAAATGAAACTACAGATAAAAATAAAGTATCGAAAACTGTTGAGACTAAGAAAAAAATTGTCGAAACTAAAAAATCGGAAATAAAGAAAATTAAAAACGATGACGCCCCTTATCATAATACGAAGCGGCAAATACAAAAACGAAGAATTGTTCCAATGGCGAAAGCGACGGTTACTTATAAAATTAAAAAACCGGGTTTAGAAAAAAGTAATGTTGATGTAAAAACTAAAGCTACTGTTACTAAAAAAAGTGATGATAAAAAAACTGTAATTGTTAAAGATAAAGCAAAGGAAAAGGACTGCAAAGAAAAGGTTGAAATAAAAAAAGAAAAAAAATTAGATCAATCTCAATCCTCTGATGATCAAAAAGCGGGACCGTCGCGTCCTAGCAGAAAAACTAAAGAAGCGGCTGCTTTGTATATGGAGTTATTAGGACAAAAATTGGTTAATGATATGGAAATGGATGATGATATTTCTATTGATAGTTTTCCTGAGTTACCTAATGTTAAGAAGACTGAACAAAGAGAAAATGAATTGAAAGCAAAGGTAAGTAAAATTCTTTGTAAACCTTTTCACTGCTGTCTACATGTAAATACAGGATGGTCCATTCGAAAACGGTTCATTTTACATAAAAATGAACCAAATGAAAGTTGTTGTGTGCGAAACCATATGACGATAACATTTTTGTCCTTGACCTTATTTTCAAGGTCATATGAATGTCACGACCAATTTTCTAAAAAAATTACCGTGTGGTTTTGCCAGTACGACGGCGAAACATCTTTTGTCGACAAAATCTAAATAATTTTTTTATTCAAATAGTTTTAAATATTGTTTATTTATAAAAAAAGTGATTAAACTACACTATTAATCAACAGCAAGTATAAAATTTATAATAAATATTCAAATATTTCCACACCCACTTCAATGCATTTATTAACCCTTCTACTAAAATTTTCTTTACATCTTAAAAGGTTTTCTTGGCTACTATTTCTGCATGCATTTCTTATCCACTCTTTTATGTTTTCTGGCGTAGTCGGTACTTTGCAATAAACATTATCCTTAAGGACGCCCTATAAAAAAAAAATCTAGAGGTGTTAAATTAGGTGATCTGGCAGGCCAGGAAATTGGACCGCCCCTTCCAATCGCCCAGCATAATCAAACGATTGTTGAGATATCGAGGTTTGAAGTTGACAGATCGTATGAATAGGATGCTAAACAGTACAACACATTGCTAGGTTGGCTATGGAAAAATTGCGGTTTATTTTAATAAAAGCTTAATGACACTGCAATTTGTTAAAGCTGCTCAATGTGACTACCGCCTTGTGCAATGCATAATTCAATCCTTTGTCGGAGCTCTCGTTTCCAGTTGTAGTTCTCCATATTGTTTTTTACCTCTCGAAACACTGCATGAATGTTTTGTATAAGTTGGTCTCTATTATTAGGCTTTCCCGTTGGATACGTAAGTGTCTTCACATGTCCCCACATAAAAAAATCTAGTGGGGTGAGATCCGGAGATTGCGGTGGCCAAGCAATGGGACCACCACGATCTATCCATCGATTTGGATACTGTTCATTGAGGAAATTTGTGATAATTCTTGCATAATGGGCGGGAGCACCATCATGTAAAAAGAACATTATTCTTCTAATTTGAATAGGAATGTCGTCAAGTAATAGAGGTAGATCGTTCTCCAAAAAAGCCTGGTACATTTCGCTGTTCAAATTTCCGTCGAAAAAATGCGGTCCAATAACAACATTATTAATTATTCCAGCCCAAACGTTTACAGAGAATCTACTCTGCAAATGGATTTCTCGAACAGCATGAGGGTTTTCGAATCTCCACACATGTTCGTTATGAAAATTGTTGATTCCATCTCTAGTAAATGTAGCTTCGTCACAAAAAAGAGTTCTTGAAAGAGTATCCAGATGATTTCTCCACCATTCACCATTTACAAACCGGTGGTACTACTGTTGCAATATCCATACACGAAAACCATGTCCGCATACTCTTCGTGTGGATAAGTTGCAGGCATGATTTTAGCACAATTGATAACAATGATGACAATTAATGGCCTGAATGTCAACAATTTTATTCTAATATCAATTAAATGGCTAATTATTCAATTACCTAGCAACATGTTATTTACTGTTTAGTATCTATCTATAGGATCTGGTAACTTCAAATCTCGATATCTCAACAACCGATTGGAATTCGAGAAAGGTGATTAGAATCATTTATTCTTAAAATTGATCATAGAATTCATATACGCAGTTTCTCGGATACCTCAGCGGAGGACACCATATATGTGAAAAATGTGCTGGACAGCCATTATTTTGCAGCCACATATTTTGCCTTTCTTCCCTGCTCTAAATCTACAAGTAACGTTGGTAAGACGTCATCTAAAAAATTTCGGTACTTCTCCCCATTCAGCATACCATCAATAAAGTATGAACCGAATAATTTATCACCAATTATGCCACACCAAACATTAACCGACCATTGACAAAATACTAATCGATTTTCAACATCACCTCCATAAAGCTGTTAATGCAATGAAATGTTAATGGGAATACTTGTTGCGCTTTATTATTCTTAAAATGCTGATCTTCGATATTCCGGCGTCAATTGCAAGTCGTCCAGTGCTAACTTGAGGATTTACCTTAACGCTAGCTAATACCGCAGTTTCTTTTTCTTCCGTAGTTACAGTTGCTCGCCGAGTTCTTTTTCTTGATACCACATTTCCAGTGTTAGTGAAATCATTCACAACTTTGTAAAAGGTACTTCTCGAAGGCGTATTTCGATCAGGAAAACGTTCTCGATACAAAGCTATACTATTAGCAATTTTTCTGCCACTTTCTCCATAAATACTTTTTACACGCCACACTTAGAGTATCCATGATTAAATCATGGATACTCTAAGTTTAAACACTTTGGCTTAATGTAAAACGATGGAATGAATTCAGAATTTGTTGCCAAGCAGTTTTTATGCAAATTTAGTTTTACCTGTTACATTTTAAAACAATTCAACCAATTAAGTCTCTGAAAGCGATATTTTGAAAATGCCGACATAAGCAGTTCCACTAACTCTTGTTTTTTATGCGTTGTTCTATTATCAAATTGACAAAGGCGGAGAAATGTCGGAACCTTTTAGACCTCTTTCCAAAGGTATTTCCGAGGAGCCAGGGCACCCGATGTACCTCTTCTGCATTTTTCTTGTTCAGCATTCTTAAATAGTATTCTAAGAATTAAGAACTAAAGACAATGCATCGAAGAGGGTCGGGAAATGTTTAAAAATGCATAAATCTTATTTGTTCTTGCTAGCAAGATTATAAACGTTATTTAATTGTTTCTGAAGAAGTTTCAATTTTTTTCAAAAGATATTTTGCCGTTGTACTGGCAAAACCACACAGTAACATTTTTTTGTTTTTTTTTAATTACTGTACTTTTATCCACAGATTCAGATTTTACAATAAAATATATAGGGTGCCATTTAAAAAATTGGTCGTGACCTTCATATAACCTTGTAAATAAGGTCAAGGTCAAAAATTGTTATCGTCATATGGTTTCCCCCTTCGCACAGAACAACTTTCATTTGATTCATTTTTATGTAAAATGAACCGTTTTCGAGATAATCGCTTATCTAACGTTAAACGGACCATGCTGTATATTCAGGAAACTCAATTATTTTGTTTTTGGAGGTTTACACAGTTGAATAGGGGCTGTACTAAGTAACACTCTACAATTATTATAATTTTTTTTGTTTACATTGATTTTACTAAATTAAAAGTTGAATCAGTTATAATTAATTGTTACTATTAATGTGGAATTAAAGGGGTAGGTAATAAACTATAGCAATCAATTTTGAGCATTAATAAAAAAAATAATAAATTTGATTCTCATATTTGAAATGTCATGTAAGTACCTCCAGACTTACAATTAGTTAACATAATAATCCCATATCAAATATCTGAACTATGCGCGCAATATCTCAATAACGCTCACGTAAGTATCTTTCAAGATGTATTAATTCTTTCATTGTAAAAGAAATGTATTGCAGCTACTCTTGAATGGTTAATTAGTTATCAGATCTTGTTAATCTGGTTTTAATTTTAATTGTATACCGGGCGAGGCATTGAAATTGTGACGATCTAATAACTCATAAACCATCAATTTTATCGAAAAAAGTTTCAAATAAAACTTTTATCATATGAAGGGACAAAGTATTCTGTATGGTTTTAATTGTATTTTAGAAGCGCCATCAATGTCTTTCAATTGTTAAGTAAGTTTTTAAATGTTCCAAATGAATACATCCGTGAATTTCACTTAAATTCGCTACTTCACTAATTCGAACCCACACCGTTGCGTTCTTTATTAGTTAGTTGTATTTTAATTCAATAAAAATATACAACAATCTAGCGCTAAATAATACCTAAACTAGAGCTAACACTAGCACTACAACTAACACTAGCACTACAACTAACACTAGACGTCTCCCATCAAATATTTTAAGAGTTATTGTAATAATAAAGGATATTTAATAATGGTTAATTCGATAAAAAATATGATTGAATTAAAATTAACAAAATTTCACTCTTCAGTTTATTATTTAACTTGTTTTTCGTAGAATCACTAGGAACGTAGATATTCCCTTTATAATTTTTATTTTCAACTTACATCTTTCCCAGATGGCGGCGGTATCAGCCACCACTTGAGGTCGAAAACTCAGGATTATCATAAGGACGTCACCTTTTTCCGAGTAAAACTAGCCTGTACTATAAGCTATGTTGCATTTTATGTGGGACAGTGCAAGTGTATAGTTGTGCAGTAACTATGGTTACTGCATATATTGCGAGTTACATGAAACTGTAAATACATACTAATTAGTTACTTATTTTTGATATTACACAAAATTAAACAAGATAATATTTTGCAGCTTTTCTCAATGGTCCAGTCTGCTTTACACATAATATAGATAGATATTGTGATATTTTTAGAGTTTTAAGATCATAACACAAAACACGCGCACTGCGATACGCGGAACACACTTTCCGATTATTACTGGTTTTGCTATAATTCCGCACTATTGCTCGCGTTTGAATCGACTAGGGCACTAGGTCACTGAATCGAACGGCTTCATCCTCTAAAGGTGACGCAGGACATCCTCGTTGTCGAGAAGCTGGATGGCCTCGATGTTGGGATGATCGTGTATTCTCTTCTCATGGTTAGATGCGAATGATACAATTTCTGATGACACCGATGCTACTTCCAAGTCGCGATGGAGGTCGGTGTTTCTTATATACCAAACTGCATTCATTATGCACCTTAGTACTTTGTTTTAGAATCTTTGAATCAGACTTGCATTTGTCTTGCAGGTACAACCCCACAGTTGGATTCCGTATATCCATTTTGGTTTTAATACTTGCTTGTATATTAACAACTTGTTTCTTAGTGATAACGTAGATTTTCTGCCAATAAACCAATATAGGTGTCTAAATTTGATATCAAGTTCCTCACTTTTTTTTTACGTGAGCTTTCCATTTGAGTTTGACATCCAGTTTGACATACCAAGACATTTTGGAGTGTCGGCGTAAAGGACTGCATGCCATATATGTGTACTGGTGACTATGTGACTACATGTATGTGTACATGGGACATAGTTTACTTTCTTATAAGTAAAGTTGTTTATGTATGTCGATTTATTTGTATTTAATTTTGTTAGCCATCGTTTGGTCTAGTTTTCTATTGAATTTAAGGCCAATTGTAACTTATTTGCTGCAATAGCCAAGATCACTGTGTCATTTGCGAATGTAGCTGTTAAAGTTTCTGTTATCTGAGGAAGGTCGAACGTATAGAGTAAGAACAGTGTTGGGCCAAGCACACTTCCTTGAGGAACGCCGACTTGTATTTCATGTATTTTTCAGAAAGATACGATTTTAATATGTAATTGATACGTTGATGGTAGTAGTTGGTCTAATTTGTAATTTAAACCATCTAAGCACACTTTGTCGAAAACTTGTGCAATATCCAAAAATACGGCGAAGCAGATTTTATTTTCTTCTATTGCTATTTCGATAGTATTCGAATTCTGTGCACTTGGTCTATTGTTGCATGTTTATTCCGAAATCCAAATTGATGTGTTGGTATTAGGACTTTTTCTTCTATGACAGGTTTTAGTCTTTTTAATAGTAATTTTTCAAGTTGTTTTGATTGTAATGGTAATAATGAGATTGGCCTATATAATGTAACATCTGTGGGGGGTTTACCAGGTTTTGGTATCATTATTATTTCAGCAACTTTCCATATACTTGGGAAGTATTTCTGTTTAAAAGCAGCATTAATTATGTGTATAGTTTTATAATCGCCCGTTTGGTAGATGTTTCAATGTTTCTCCATTAATTAGGCCATAGCCTGCTGATTTCTTTATATTTAGTTTTTACATTTCATAATACACTCTGCTGATCACTTTGAATAATGCTAAGAACACTATTTAACATAGTTGTTGGACTGTCTGATGTAAAAGTTTCTTTCTGATGTTCAGCAAACAAATTAACTTTTTCTTGATTGCGCTTTGCCTAATTTCCATTACTATTTCGAATTGGAGTTGTATGTGTTATTGGAACCTGAAACATTCTTGTCGGCTTCCACAGAAAATAATCAGTACGGACATCGTCAGTAAGATCTTTTAAGTAATTTTGAATATTATTTTATTTGTGGCTATCTGCTACTAATGGTTTGCCATTTCTTTCATTACATTGATTGGAGAAAAATTTACAAATCCCCTGATTCACGAACTACCAGCAAAGTTAGTGCCACATATTTGCTATCGAAATAAGTGCACAGGTAGGGGTGGTTCCATTAATTGGCCTGCTAGCTCTCCCGATCTAACATCTCTTGATTTTTTCTGTGGTGTTACATTAAAGACAAAGCCACCAAAAACTGATAATAACGTCGGAAAATATGAGGTAAAGAATACGGGATGTGCGCAGGCAATTAAGTCCAAAAATGATACAACAAGCAGATACACCTTTTATTATTAGATTATTTAGACTAGAATTAATTATTTGACGTTTTTATCGATAAATTTTAGCTAAATAAAAAGTTGTTTCAAATAAAAGTTGCTTATTATATTTATCAAAACAATATATGTATTCATTTAAAAGAACTTACTTAACAATTGATAGACATTGACGGCGCTTCTAAAATGTAATGAAAGCTATCCAGTACAAAATACTTTCCCCCTTCATACGATATGATGAAAGTTTTATCTAAAACTTCTTTTGATAAAATTGATGGCTTATGAGTTATTAGCTCGTCTCAATTTCAATATCTTTTATTGTCATTTTCAGAATATTGTTAAAACAATAGATATAATGCATAATATACAACCTACACACTAATGTCCCCTCCTTCTCCTCTCCCTCATCATCCCCTCCATCCAGTACGCACTCTCACTCCATACTACCCTCCTTCAAATCATCAACCGCAGCATATGATCAATTGTCTCCAAATCATCCCTACACAATGTACACATCCTTTCCTCACCCCCCATCCAATATTTATTCGTTCTCTCTTTTTTTTCCCGTACCTTTATCGCGCAATCATACCTTTTCCTTCTCTCTTTTTTCCAACCCTTCTCCATCAAATATCCCGAAATTTCTTATGTTATAATGACCTTATACAATAATGAACTTATTATTGTATCATCCAACTCCTTCCGCAGTTTTTCGTCCAGTATACCTGCATATATTTTATATGCAATATTCAACAGGTGTATACCTCTATAATTTTGTATAGATTCTCTTTCTCCTTTTTTTAAACCGAACATACAATTCCAACGCGCTACTGCTAAGGGAATTCTTTGCCTCTCCAAATCTGTCAGAAATTTCTCCCATTTCTACATCCTGTGTTGCCTCTAGCCATGCCTCATTGTGTACCCCATCCCCCCTGCCGCCTTTCCGCTCTTCAAACACGTCCGCATCTACACCAATTCCTCCATCTCGATTTCCCTGCACCTTTTTTCCTCACTTTCTCCTCCACGTTCCTCCTCTGCCGGTCTTCGCACCCTTCCAACAATTGCATAAAATGTTCTTTCCAAGTACTCATACTGTTTCAGACCGTGTGAGATCTGAAAGAGTTCTGTTAGTTAGCCTTCTGTACGTACACATGCTTCAGTACATGTCAGAATGCTCCGTATCAGCCGTATCAGTTTTGCTGGAATATCATCAAAGCATTTTCAAGATCTTCTACAGTAAGTTGTTGTCTGTTGACAGAATCATATTATATATGTTTCACGGTAAATATTTGGTCGATGGCAGATCTTCATTTTCTAAAACCCGCCTGGTATTCACCTATAACATTCTCAGCGAAGGGATGCAGTTTTTGGTTCAGAATATAGTAGTTTCGACATCAAACTTAGTCTCCTTTTTAATGGCATATTACGGCTTCTTGCCATTCGTCAGGTAATTTTTTTTTTCAGAAATTCTGCATTAATGCGTAAATATTATTCTTCGCTGGATCTTCTCCACCCGTCATGAGTATTTCGGATGGCATGCTGTCAATCCCTGGTGCCTTTGTTTCATCTCTTTGGTGTGGTGGACTGTTGTCCATTTCCAAATCAGGTTCTATGCTTACTAGGTTTTGGAAATAATTTTTTCAAATGTTATTTATTTACATATTATACTATTTTTCCTGTTTCATCTCTGCTTAGAGCTGTGTGTGGTTTCTACCCTTGTCTTAATTGTCTAACAAATTTATACACATTACTTGTTTTATTCGATTTAAAGTCTTGTTCTGGTACTCCCATTTCCTTTCGTTTCCTTTTCTTCTTGCTTCCTTGAACAATTCCTCCCTCTCTTGCGTTGGACTAGCGATACATCTTTATCTCCTTCATATCTTCTTGCAATACTCTCAGAAAAGTCGTTGTCAAACCATATCTCCCTTTTTGGCTCTTCAACTATTCCCAATACCTCTCTTGATGCCTCTTCCATGGCTGCTTATATAGCCTCTTAGTAATATTCCACTGGCAATTCAAATATCAATTGTGAGACCTCTATCACCGCTAGAATGTTCCTTTATCTTTACTTTTATTTCAGTGTTTTCAGATTTTCAATATCCAGTTTTCTATGTTTGTCTTTTTTTTTTTTTTTTGTTTTTGCTGTTAGTTTTACACCTAAACTTTGCCGGCACTAATAGATGGTCCGATCCATAGCAGGCTCCTCTTCTTGTTATCACGTCTACAATACTTGATTTAAATCTTTTATCTATTAGCACATGGTCTATTTGGTTGACCCAACAACCATATTCCTTCCTGCTGCAAATGTAACCACAAATTCACCGTTTTCGTTGATTTCATCATGTAAACTGTGTTTACCTATGATGCCAAAATATTCGACCTTTTTGCCAATCTTTGCATGCATGTCTCCAAGTACTATATTAATATCATTTTTAGGCATCGTGTCGTACACCTATTCTATTTCTTGCTAAAAAGCTCTTTTATCTCCGGGTCCTTCTCGATCTTCTTGGTCTTAGCCGAACAGAAGACCACATTTACGATTGTTGCATTGCTTATAATTGTTTTCCACTATGAAGGCTACTCCTACTTTCCTTATACCTGTATGTTTACCGCTGTATATTATCATATTGTAAGTAACACAACATGTAGTATAGAATGACAGAATTTGCCCTATTTCTGTGTATATTACCTATTTTATCGAATTTCAAGAGGAAAATTTATTTTCACAGCATAAGAACAAATCAGTAATCTCACTAATTGTAAACCAATCTTTTACATTAACTACTAAGCTATGCGTAAGCATGGCCGAGAAATGCATTTCATGTTTACTTTTCTTAAAATTTTATGATGACTACTTTTTCATAATAATCATTATAATTATTTATTAATTTCGTTGTAACTTATGATTTTATCATACGTTTTTTATAGATAAGATATTAAGTTTCAAAATACTTTTATTTCTATTATTTACAGGTATAAGAACAAATTAACTTTTTTTATTTATGCTTTGTTTATTCTTTCAAACATTGTGTTCGATACGAATCGTCACTAATCGTTACTAATCGTAGATGCATACATGACCTGAAAGCCTCAAACTTCTAATTTTATACCGTCGCCGTATCGACTTACATTTCGTGTACGGACAAAAGATTCGAATAAAAAAATAGAAGTCTCCAACAAGAACTGAGATTCCTCGTCTGTTTTTGTACTGTGTTGTAGTGTTCGCTTTTCTAATTCAGCAGCGAAAGGGTTACAATTATATAAAGAAAAAATCGGTTAAATTTAGTTTGATTATCATTTTTTTAAGGTAAAAATTAAAGATGTTGAAACTAAATCAAAAAACGATCCAAAAAGTCTAGAAACTGATTCTAAAAAGTCTAATTTGATCAAGAAACAAGTTAAAGTTGAGATAAAGGATGAATATAATTTAAAAAATAAATTAATTGATGAAAAAGTTGATGATAAAAAAGATAAAGAATCTAAGAAGTCGATTCAGGATAAGAAATCAAGTAGTAATTCAAGTGTTGAAAACGAAGCAAAAAAGCAAACGCTTCCTACTGTTTCTGATGATAAAACAAGTAATAAAGATATAGATAAAGATAAAAAAGAATCACCACCTAAAACAACTGTTAAAGAAACGAAAATAAATCAATCAAAAAACTTAAAAGAAACAAACACAAAAATTATTAAAGAATCAGAAATCGATAGTTTAAGTGAATCTGATACATCATCAAAAAATATCAAAACGAAATCTAAAAAGATAAAAAATCTCAAAAAGAAACCAAAATGCGATCAAAGTATGAGTTTTAGCGATTCTGATGAAGAACCTCTATCCAATTTAACGAAACCTAAAGATTTAAAAGATAAAAATAAAGAGCATACACCAGAAAAAAAATTTGAACCAAAAACAGAAAATTTTTACAAAAATAAACCAAAACGTGAATGTACTAAAAGACCACAAAATTATCTCGCGCTTTACTCGTCATCTGATGAAGAAAAATACTTTCACGGTTTCATAAAAACGGAAACAATCAAACCGGAAGTAAAGGTGGAATTGGATAAATGTACTCATTCGATTCCATCCTCAGATTTATTGTGTAAAGACGTTAGTCGTCGTTTCGGAAAAGGTAAAGTAAATATGTCCACCGAACAAATCGAAAAGTGGTTAAACGATAGCGCTTTAGCGGGAATGATCATCAAAAAAGAGGAGGAAGAAATTAAATTCGATGAAAAAGTCGATCTTCCCACCGCGATTGTTGAAAAACCAAAAATCGATATCGCCATAAAAACGACACCCGAAAGTGTTAAGACCATCGAAGGTCGCGAGAGATTATCGAGCACTTCGAATCAATCGCAAGAAATAACACCTCCCGCTCAATTAATGCGAATACCATCCAATGAAAAGAAAATGATTTTTAAAAAATTAACGGAAACTGTTAAAAATATTAATGCCTTTTCCGTTAGTAATGAGAGTAGCGTTTATGCTTTTGAAGCTGAGGAAGATTCGTCAATAAGTACACCTTTTCGAAGACCATCTAGGAGACCTTCTAGTACAGCTACGTCTAAGTCGGAAGATGATGTTACTAAACTTGAAGATGCTAATAAAATGACAGGTAAGTTACAAAAACTTTGTTAAATAAGAAATTTAATTTGTTACTTTTACAATAATTATAATTATTTTTTTTAAGACTTTATATACAGGGTATTTCGTAATATATGCGCAGCTTGTCCAAAAATTTGAAAAAAAGTTTCTATCAACTTACCCTCTAAAATGCACCATTTTCGAGATACAGGGTTTAATTTAATAAAAAAAATCGTTTTTTGCGAATATCTCCGGAACTGTTTATCGTACAGAAAACAGCTTTTGTAAGCATTTGCTACTCATAATAAACTAAGTATTATACTAGAAAAAAAAATTTTTAAAGTCATAATTGGTGAAGATTTTGAAGTGGTAGTGGTTGTTTTTTACCCTAACTTCTACGCCACTGGAAAAAGTACGGTTTTGAGACTCTCATTTGAACCGCCAATGTTTTCTACACAAAAAAAGTACTGAAGGTCATGAGCTCTAAAGTTGACCGTTTTCGAGAAAAATTAACTTTTATGTTGAATAACATGGTCAATTTTTTGAAATAAAAATTTTATTTTACTAAAACGTTAGAACAAGTAACAAAAGCAAACGTTAACTTCATAATTGCATAATAAAAAAAACAATTACAAATCATATACAGTTAAGCTAAATGTTGGAAATGTCCGCCGTTAGCTTCAATGCACGCAGCAATTCTTCGACGCATTGACTGTCTAATACGCAGAAAAATTCGCGGAGTGTTCCGAATTATGTCACAAGATGCAACAATGCGCTCTCTTCATTGGTCAAAATTTGCAACTGGAGTAGCGTAGACTAGGGTTTTCAGATGGCCCCAAAAGAAAAAATCTAAACAATTAAGTTCGGGAGATCGCGGTGGCCATGGGTGCGGACCTCCACGACCGATCCAACGGTCTGGGTATTCGTCGTCCAAGTATTGGCGAGCAACCAAACTAAAGTGGGCCGGAGCTCCATCATGCATAAAGTACATGTTTTGTCTTACTTGAAGCGGTATCTTCCAGCAGTTCCGGCAGTACTTCTTCTAGAAATTGTCGATAATCTGCACCGTTTAATCGGTGCGATAAAAAATGTGGGCCTATCAAATGATCACCGACGATGGCAGCCCAAACATTTACGGAAAATTGTTGCTGATGATGGCCATCTGCAATTTCATGTGGATTTTCTTCTGCCCATTATTGTGAAAATACATCCTTCGAGAAAGATCGGTAAACAGAACTTCGGCTCCAAACTCAGGATTTTGAGTTATTTTGTCTTGCATCCATGTACAAAAAGCCAATCTTACATTACATTACATAGAATACATATCGGATAGGCGGACCAACCAACCTTGCACCGCGACCCTAAGGATCTATTGTACACCGATAGATATCGTTATCAAATTACACCGCGCAGTCCAATGCTCTTAACGAACATTAATACCTTGCTCGGTGAAAGGTCATTCAGATCTTTTGAGGAGATAAACTGCGACCCAAAAATCGAGAATCTGTTACGGTTAACGGCAGGGCAGTGGCATAAAACATGCTCAGCCGTTTCTGTTTCCTCCGCACATCGTCGGCTAAATCCAACAAGTTGAGGTGTGCTTTTAATCGGCAGAGCCCAGTAAAAACACCCATTAGAACTTTTATGCTACTACGGGCAAGTCCTAAAATATTCCCGGCTTTGACAGTGGCGATGTTAATAAACACCTTAGCATGTCTCATTCCAGGAGAACTGGTCCACAGTAGCCGAAGTCTCTCTTCAGCCCACAGTCCAATCCTATATTTGGCCATCGCAAATGATACACCAACTGCTGGTTCCGGTCCCACAAACGCTTCAGCCCTGCCATCTCGTCCTAGCTTATCTGCCGCTTCATTGTCGGCAACCCCAGAGTGACCCGGGACCCAGATCAGAGAGACTCTGTTATCACAACTCAGTGTGTTTAATGTTCTCTTACAATCATTAACCAGAGCCGACACCGTTTTCACGGCTTGCAGCGCCTGGAGAGCGGCTTGACTGTCTGAGAAAATTCGTACTGTCATGTTCTTCACNTAGGAGACCTTCTAGTACAGCTACGTCTAAGTCGGAAGATGATGTTACTAAACTTGAAGATGCTAATAAAATGACAGGTAAGTTACAAAAACTTTGTTAAATAAGAAATTTAATTTGTTACTTTTACAATAATTATAATTATTTTTTTTAAGTGTTAATATACAGGGTGTTTCCTAATATATGTGCAGGACTTCAGGATGTGATAACTTGTCCAAAAATTTGAAAAAAAGTTTTCTATTAACTTACCCTCTAAAATGCAATATTTTCGAGATACAGGGTTTAATTTAATAAAAAAAAATTCTTTTTTGCGAATATCTCCGGAATCGTTTATCGTACAGAAAACAGCTTTTGTAGGCATTTGCTACTCATAATAAACTAAGCATTGTACTAGAAAAAAAAAATTTTAAAGTCATAATTGGTGAAGATTTTGAAGTGGTAGTGGTTGTTTTTTACCCCAACTTCTACGCCCCTGGAAAAAGTACGATTTTGAGACGCCCATTTGAACCGCCAATGTTTTCTACACAAAAAAAATACTGAAGGTCATGAGCTCTAAAGTTGACCGTTTTCGAGAAAAATTAACTTTTATGTTGTATAATAAAAATTTTATTTTACTAAAACGTTAGAACAAGTAACAAAAGCAAACGTTAACTTCATAATTGCATAATAAAAAACAATTACAAATCATACACAGTTAAGTTAAATGTTGAAAATGTCCGCCGTTAGTTTCAATGCACGCAGCTATTCTTCGACGCATTGACTGTCTAACACGCAGGAAAATTCCCGGAGTGTTCCGAATTATGTCGCAAGATGCAACAATGCGCTCTCTTAATTGGTCAAAATTTGCAACTGGAGGAGCGTATACTAGGGTTTTCAGATGTCTCCAAAAGAAAAAATCTAAACAATTAAGTTCAGGAGATCGCGGTGGCCAAGGAGACCTCCTCGACCGATCTAACGGTCTGGGTATTCGTCGTCCAAGTATTGGCGAGCAACCAAACTAAAGTTGGCCGGAGCTCCATCATGCATAAAGTACATGTTTTGTCTTACTTGAAACGGTACATCTTCCAGCAGTTCCGGCAGTACTTCTCCTAGAAATTGTCGATAATCTGCACCGTTTAATCTGTGCGATAAAAAATGTGGGCCTATCAAATGATCACCGACGATGGCAGCCCAAATATTTACGGAAAATTGTTGCTGATGATGGCCTTCTGCAATTTCATGTGGATTTTCTTCTGCCCATATGTGGTTATTGTGAAAATTGAAAATACCATCCTTCGAGAAAGATGCTTCATTGGTAAACAGAACTTCGGCTCCAAACTCAGGATTTTGAGCTATTTTGTCTTGCATCCATGTACAAAAAGCCAATCTTGGCGGAAAATCTCTTGGCTTGTACTCTTTGGATATGGTAGGGATACAAAAGTTGCCTTTTCAAAATTCTTCAAACCGTCGAGTGAGATAAGTTTAAGTTGTGAGCAATTTTTCTGGTACTTGTGGTCGAATTTTTACCAATTCCGTTGAGCAGCCTCTTCTACTTGGGGATTTGCAACTTCCATAGGCCACCCATTATCAGAAACATTCCTTTTAAAACTTCTATTTTCCCATAGTCGTTGGTGAATGCGTAGAAACAAGTTGTGGTGTGGGTGGTACTGGGCGATCAGGATGTCTTTCTTGATACAACCGCCTTGCTTCTGCCAAATTACCGCACGCCATTCCGTAAAGGTAATACATTTCGCACATTTCAGCGTTTGTGTAATTCATTTTTAATTTTGTAATACAAGTTTACTTTTTGCAGGTGCAAACTAATTGTTATTTTGACAGGAGGTAGCTTTTGTTATAAAATTTAAAGCCTATTTGTGAAAAATAAATTATACAGTTTTTTACACTTTACGGTTTGGAGAATTTTGAAAAGACAACTTTTGTATCTTTGTTTTATTTTGCAATTATGAAGTTAACGCTTGCTTTTGTTACTTGTTCTAACGCAGTGGTTCTCAAACTATGGTACGCGTACCACTGATGGTACGCGAGAAGTTCTCAAGTGGTACGCAAAACAGTTTATATTTGCATTATCATTATTGTTTTTTTTTGTTCAGTGCTACCTGATTTTTAAAATAAACTTAGTGGTACGCAAGGATATAAGTTTGAGAACCGCTGTTCTAACGTTTAAATAAATTTTGTTTAATTGTAAAATAAAATTTTTATTTAAAAAAATTGATGATTTGCCTAGAAAACGGTCAACTTTGGAGCTGGTGTCATACAGGACGTTTTTTTGTGTAGAAAACATTCAAATGGACGTCTCAAAACCGTACTTTTTCCAGTGGCGTAGAAGTTGGGGAGAAAAACAACCACTACCCCTTCAAAATCTTCACCAATTATGACTTTAAAAAAAATTTTCTCGCACAAAACTTAGCTTATTATGAGTAGAAAATGCTTACAAACGCTGTTTTCTGTACGATAAACGGTTCCGGAGATATTTGCAAAAAACAATTTTTTTTATTAAATTTCAACGAAAATGGTGCATTTTAGAGGGTAAGTTGATAGAAACTTTTTTTTCAAATTTTTGGACAAGCTATCACATCCTGAAGTCCTGCGCATATACTATGAAACACCCTGTATACAAACTTTTCGATTGGAAAACATATTTAAATATATATACAGGTGTATCAAATGTCTGGTATGTGGCCAATAACTTCACCATTTGTGGTTTTAAAGGTGATTTAAAAATGTTTTAAATAACAGTTTCTTTATTTATTGTGCCGCATTTGACGATATTTGCTTGTTTGCATTGTTTTTGTTTCGTTGCTATGGCAACCAACATTGTTACTTTAAATGGGATGCATATGTTTTTTTTTGCATATTTTGATAGAGGATAAATCCATCTACGCGATGAACATATCAAATTATGTGTATGATTGTATAAGAAAAAAGCATTTTCTGAAAATATTAAATCAGCAAATTACAATGAAAGTATGCGCTGAAAGAACGCCGTTGGCAGCTTTAAATCTCAAAAAATTTACAGTTTAAACAAATTAAGCGATTGTTTGGATGTAAATGGTGCCCAATTTAAACATTTGTTGTAATTTCCATATCTTGGCTTAGATTTTTTAAAGAATTTTAGTTTTTGTGGTACCTTTGGCTGCTTTCAGCAATGCATTTTTTGTGTAATCTGCGTGTCCGTGTAAATATTATCAAACAGTGTACAAACTAGGCTTGACTGCGCTTTCTCTCACAGAACCCACACATCATTAATATTTCATAATTTGTTGAATCTGTCAATTTTTTGACATTTAAAACTATCAACGGCGTATTTCAACACCTACTTTGTTTGTAATTAGCTGATTAAATATTTTTAGAAAACTTATGCTTATACAACCACATGATTTGATATGTTGATCGCGTAGATGGATTTATCGTTATCAAAATATGCAAAAAAATGCTTCTCATTCAAAATAACAAACGTCGTCAGAAAATACGTCACAATGAATAAAGAAACTTCTATTTGAAACATTTTTCTTTAAAACCACAAATGGCGAAGTTATTGGCTATATTCCAGACATTTAATACACCTGTATACAGGTGTCCCTCGTAACTTAAACAAAAATTTTAGTAGTATGGGTCGTCCGAAGCTTTTTATTTAAAATGCCGTCGGATGGCCACCACATTCGGTCTACCGGAAATAGACGATACTTTTGTTATTTTTTCGAAAACTGCTATTAAAAGTTGACTTTTGCGTAGTACTTAGCGACCGTCAAAACGATAGTTTTTTGTTAACAGGACGTAAACGACTTTTGTTTAATCCTACCTTCGAAGTTGTCAGTTTCTAACTTGTATGTCTTTCCAATCCGACATATGCGTTAATAAAAAATTATAGTTTCCTCACTTGTATTGTAATATACTATTGTTCAATCCATCCTACGTTCGAAATTGTCAGTTAAAAGTTGTTATTTATATTCAGAAAAGAAGTATCTACGACCGATACAAGTGAGCAACAAGTAAATGCGACTATTCGGGGTGTACGGTCCAGGTTTTAATTAAAGAAACAACTTTTTAAAAAGCTAATATTTCGGTTATTTATTGTAACCTTCCTCAGAGCATTTTTTATTGCTACAAGAGATTAACAAAGTTAGAGTTATAAATTGTAAANAGAGCCAATTCTGCTGATTTTCCCGCTTGATAAGCATACTGGTGGCGACTCAGTGGACCAGATACCAATGGCACCGTACGGATATACCGTTCCAGAACTTTTTCAAGGGTTTTCAGCAGAAATGACGTTAGGCTGATGGGTCGAAAGGCATTAGGAGTAGGGACCGAACGGCCCGCTTTGGGTATATAAGATAGCCTTACCTTAGTCCATTCTGCCGGTACATATTTCCAAGCGACACTCGCTCTGAAAATTTTTACCAAAGTTGGTAACAACAATGACCATCCTTGCTGTAACAAAGCAGGAAAGATATTGTCTTCTCCAGGCGATTGCCTGGTCCACGGATGTGCAAGTGACGACTTTTCTAGCCACACTCCAATCCGTATTTGAGGGGCGCTTTGTGTTGCAGGAATAACCAGTTGTGGCATTATCAGCCCTCATCATCAAGCTTCCCGGGAAGTGAGTCTGCATGAGAAGCTCTAACGAGGCTCTGATAGAGTTCGTAAAACTACCGTCAGGCCGCTTAAGTGAGCCCAGGGGTAGTGCCGGATCTCAAGCGAGAATCTTGTGAATTCTTGCACTGCTGGGTGTGTCTTTCACTCCCTCACAGAACCTCCTCCAAGACTCTCTTTTTGCCTTACGTATGTTTTTGGTGGAATTCGTTAGAGCCTGTTTATATTTCTCCCATTCACCTAATGTCTTGGCCCGGTTAAAAAGCCTCCGGACCTCTTGTCTTTCGAAGCTATGAGATTCGTTCCACCAGGGTGTGCGCCGGTTATTTCTTTTCATCTTCAGTGGACTGCTGAAGCCAGTCTTGGCGGAAAATCTCTTGGCTTGTACTCTTTGGATATGGTAGGGATACAAAAGTTGCCTTTTCAAAATACAAGTTTACTTTTTGCAGGTACAAACTGATTGTAATTTTGACAGGAGGTAGCTCTTGTT